TTTTATTCATGAAGGCCTCGGTACTACCTTTTAATGTTCTTGAAAAAATAACACAAATGTTTTTTAAATCTGTTCATTCTGCTATTGATAAAGTGAAAAAGGCCTTACGAGTATCACAGCGTGCTTCGTCGTCTCCCATAGGACAGTCCCTGTTCCCATCACAGACGTCTAGAAGATGTATGCACACAGGTTCGGACCCGTTCCTCATCTTCCTCATCTCTTCTCTACTGTGGTTTCTCATCATCATTGACGATACGTTTCGCCGGCAGCGGTACTCCCAAAACTCACAGCCTGCATTGCCTGAAAGAGAGAGAGAGAGAGAGACAGGCTTTTAGATTTCTCAATGCTTTTGAATACCCACGTCGATGACATCTTTAAAATGACATATATGGGTCGAAATACACACTTTCAGGTTTGTCAACAAGACATGACGTGCTTTGGAATATCCACGGCGATGACATTTCAGTTCTGGAGTTTGGGGGCCTATCAAACGCACACCCTATATATATATACAAAAGGTGATTAATTGGTTTCTAATCCACCGGGTGTATGGGTCAGTATTTATGAAAGGACACTCCCAGTTCCAGAACAGAAGCAAATTCTACACAGTGAATACTTTACTTAGTAACTATTATCGTTGTCCCTAACAATCTTAAAACGTTGAATACCAAAGATATTGATATTCTTATAATGAAGAAAAACGCTGGAGAGAAATGTTGTTTAAGTTTACTTACCACAGTGCATTTCGTCCTGCCCGTTAGCACAGTCCCAGATGCCATCACAGGCGAAACTCGCGTTCACACAGGACACGTTCCCTGGCCCGTCCCAGCATGCGATTTCGCCTACACTACACTCACCACCTTTTAGTTAAAGAGATTCATCGATAAAGACTTTGGGTCTAGCCTGATATAATTTACTTATAGAAAAATACAACACAACGTATTCAAAGTTAAAATTTTTCTTTTAACACAAAGGTTAATGTTCTCACCTAAAGCTTTCGACTAGTCACTCTGGTCTTCCTCAGTAGACTGACCCAGTGAGACTAGTCAACTGAGGAAGACCAGAGTGACTGGTCGAAATCTCTATAGGTGATAACATTTACCTTTGTGATGGAACAAAACATACAACTTTAACATGTAACTGCCAAGTTGAACACAGTTGAACACACAAAAGTATTGCTAAACGCATGGTGTGTGGATAATCTATTACAAGCAAGAAAAAAAAAACAAAGGAAAATGTATGAACAAGTGACGTCAAGGTCCTTACCACAATGCCTCTCGTCCTCCCCGAAAGGACAGTCCCATATCATGTTACAGGTCAGACTGGCGTTCACACACGTGACACCCATCCCCGAAGCCCGGCACGTGATCTCACCAGGGCCGCAGTGCTCTACTAAAAGGAAAAAATAGAACATCAGCTAAAATGTTTACTTCTTCTTCTTCTCTTCTTCTTCCCTTTCCGCGCTAACCTCAATCGGTTGAGGGCTCCAGCACGGTGGGGGTAGGGGTGTTGGATTGGGGTGGTCGCAAGTTTTGTATGTATATATATATGTTGTGGTCTGCAGCTCCTCAATGGGCAGGGGCGCCACTCCCTGTCCGTCACCGAGAACAGGGTGTCGGTGAGTACCCGAAAGTTTAGGAATCAAGTCCTTTTTTTCATATTTACCAGAAGTATGTGTCAAAGATCAAATGATAAAATTGTCGGCAAAGAAAAATATTATTTACATTCCATTTAGAATATACCTCCCAAACTATTAAGCGACCAATATGGCGGGCGTTACATTACGTCATCATCACGTGACCGTGACATAGGGTATTTAGAGAGATAGGGATAATTTTACAAGTGTAAAGTATAACTGATTGCTTAATGTTATGTCACTGTTATGTGACAGCTCAATTCAGCTAAATCGACATAGCTGCTTCTTTGTGACCACTGAAACTGTTTAAAGACGTGTGTGTGCAAGTGAATTTATCATTCTCTCTAGATACGTCGATGAAGGTTTTGACATCCAGGTAATACGGTACGCCAAAAAGCAGTTACTCAAGAAACTGGATCATTAACAAAATCATAAAAAAACTGCTTTTTGGTATTCTCTCTAGAGTCCTTACCACAACGCATTTCATCCTCTCCAAAGGGGCAGTCCATGATGCCATCGCATGCCAGACTGGCATTCACACAGGTCAAGTTCATCCCGACAGTTCGGCACGGGATCTCACCCGGACCGCATCGACCTCCTGGTGGGGGTTGTCCCGAGGGTCCTGGTGAGAAAGGAGGTTGTCCCGAGGGTCCTGGAGACATAGGGGGTTGTCCCGATGGTCCTGGTGGTTGCCCCGATGGTCCTGGTGGTTGTCCCGAGGGTCCTGGAGACATAGGCGGTTGTCCCGAGGGTCCTGGAGACGTAGGGGGTTGTCCCGAGGGTTCTGGAGACGAAGACGGTTGTCCCGAGGGTCCTGGAGACGTAGGAGGTTGCCCCGAGGGTCCCTGAGACATAGGCGGTTGTCCCGAAGGTCCTGGAGTGGAGCCTGGGTTGAGAAAAGACAATCATTACTGTAACAATGAATAGCAGTGGGAGTTATAGATCGATAATGCAATAGTTCAAATAGCCGTAGTTTCCTTCGAGGTTCCAGTATGGCATCTACTAGCCTCTACCAGGCTTCGGAAAGAGGCTGGAAAGAGTAGAGATAGCATGCCAGGCCCAGGGGAGTTGCATTGGTCTTCAGGAGAGAACAGTTTGCCGCGCCAGATCAATTATAGCTCCCGAGTCCTACATCTTCTTAGCAAATAGGAGAGGATGTAGGACTCGGGAGCTATAATAGGTTTGGTAACCAGGCTAAGTATTAATAAATTGGCCAGAACAGTTTGCCGCGCCAGGCATCTGCTACAAGTGCAGTTGAATGTTCGGAGAATGATTTGCCAGGTGAGTAAAGTGGCGAATTACCCTTATCACGGTTTACTCTCCTGGCTTGTGAGTTTACCGAAGGAAAACATATTGTTTTTGCTCCATTTCTTCTTCTGTTCCAAACACTAACCTCTGACCTGGCCAATGGTCTCTTTTGTTGACGTCTGTCACCATAGTAACTGGTTTTGGGTTACATAAAGTTGCAATTTCATAGTAGGCATTTAGACTCCTGTCACTATATACATGTATGTGAATGTGTTTGAGAAAGAATTGACAGAGCAGACCATATGCGAAGGTAAACATTATGCATTTGCTTTGCAAATGTTACATTTCTTGCTGAACATTCCATTTGTTTGGTAATTCTCTACAATCCATAACTGCTTAGAAAAAGGCCTGGCGGAGGCTAGAAAATACATACCGCAGTTCGCTTCATCGCCTCCCGTGGAACAGTCCGGAGTCCCGTCGCAAACCTGCCAAGGGTCGATGCACTCCGGCGGGGAGGGGTTCGGGCCGGTCGCGCTTGGGTCATTCCCGGTAGGAAAATCCACGTCACATTGGAACTGCCAAGAGGAGCACTGACCATCTGGAATGGAGAAGACGAGAATTGATTTTTTAGATAGACATTTTGGTGGCTGTAAGACAGTATTCATTAACCTGGTTACCAAACCTATTATAGCTCCCGAGTCCTACATCCTATTAGCAAATAGGA